TCTATTGTTAAAAGGAAAAAAAGTCCATTATTTCCCATACCAGCATCTATTTGATTTTATTGTCAATAGATCTGATTAAATATGACTAACCTAATTAAGAATGTAACCCTAATGCTGAATGTATCTCATAAGAATCTCTTAGAATGTAGAGATTTCTGCCCTTTATTTACCATTTAGAATCAGATGTTGTAATTATTTTAAAAGCCATTAGAATTCTAGTTTTCACTGTGTCTGAATTTCATTCTTTGTTTGGGGGTTCAATGTGAAAGCTCATACCACTTCTGTATCTTTTCAGAAGTGCTCACTGATCAAAATGGGCCAACAGAATACAACAGTGCCCACAGAATTCATTCTGACTGGAGTCACCCAGTGGGCAGAGCTGAAGCTCCCACTTTTCGGAGTCTTCCTCATCATCTATGGAGCCACAGTAGTGGGCAACCTTGGCATGATCATTTTGACCAAGCTGGACTCCCGCCTTCACACACCTATGTATTATTTTATCAGACACCTAGCTTTCATTGATCTCAGTAATTCCACTGTGATTTATCCCAAGATGATGGTGAATTTTGTTGTGGATCAAAATGCCATTTCATACTATGCTTGTGCCACACAGATGGCATTCTACATTACATTCATTATCAGTGAACTTTTCATCTTGTCTGCAATGGCCTATGACCGCTTTGTGGCCATCTGTAGCCCTCTGCTTTACAATGTCATCATGTCTCAGAGACGTTGCCATGTGTTGGTGGGCATTCCATACCTCTACAGTACCTTCCAGGCCATATTGATAACTACTAAGATTTTTATGCTGACTTTCTGTGGCACCAATGTCATCAGCCATTTCTACTGTGATAATGTCCCCATGTTACTTTTGCTGTGTTCAAATGCACAAGATATAGAATTGATAATCATATTATTTTCAGCGCTTAATTTGATCTCCTCTCTCCTGATAGTCTTAGTATCTTACTTTCTGATTCTGCTAGCCATATGTCGAATGCATTCTGCAGAAGGCAGGAAGAAAGCTTTCTCCACCTGTGGTTCTCATCTGACAGTGGTGGTGGTGTTCTACGGGACCCTGCTCTTCATGTACTTACAGCCCAAATCTGCTCACTCCTTTGAAACGGATAAAATAGCGTCTGTGTTTTACACTCTAGTGATCCCCATGCTTAACCCCTTGATATACAGCTTTAGAAACAAAGAGGTAAAAAATGCCTTTCTAAGAGTCATTAAGTATCAATGTAAAGTTTGTATTTAATCTTTATTATGGAATGATGGTGTAATAAAATATGATAAAGGCAGTATCACTCAACACTATTTCCATCATATAGGAATATATTTCATTTGCTCCATAGGGGAAAAATTATGATATTATAGAGAACAATGGACCATGATCCTTCTCATCACACAAATCAATTCTTATATTTAAAAATCTCAATTGAATGTCACTTCTTCCCCAGTTTTTCTTGTTTCTGATTTACTATTCCTTTGGTGTTTCCATTGAACTTAATATTCTACTAAAAGAAACATATATTTACACATTAGTAAATGGTTTGGAAATCTGGGTTCTTGTTTGGTTCTTTCTTTTATTTTGCTTTAATGGACACTTGTCTTCTTAATATTGTTTTGTGTATTCTGAACTTTCAAAAAGTAGAGCGGGGCTGGAGAGATGGCTCAGTGGTTAAGAAAATTGGTTGTTCTTGCAGAAGACCCAGGTTCAAATCCCAGCACCCACATGGCAGCTAAGAACTGTCTGTAACTCCAGTCCCATGGGATCTGACAGCCTCTTCTGATCTCCACAGGCATTGCACAACATGGGTACACTTACCTTCATGCAGGCAATACACACATACACATAAAATAAAAATAATAAATAATTTTTTTTAAAAAAAAGCACTGCAGAAAAGATTAGTCTCTAATGCAGAGCAAGGCTTTGGATTCTGTGTCTTTCATTTCTTCACATTTTTTCTATCTTATAGATTTTTTAATACAGTTAGAGAATTTGATTTATTTAGATTTAAAGTAATTATAGATAGAACTGGAAACATGGGTCAGCAGTTGAGACCACTGGTTGCTCTTGCAGAGGACCAGGGTTTTGTTCCCAGTACCCACATGGCCGCTAACAATGGTTTGCAATTCCAGCTCCAGGACTGTTCTTTGAATGAAACAAAGGAAAGCAAAACTCTCATTAGTATAAACTCTACAATATTTATTTTCTTATCACAAATAATAGGCAAATACAGAAACATAAATGTGTGACTCCATTCAGTAGATCCTGAATTGATGATGATAACAAAATCAATAGGAAGCAACTAAAAATAACTCTTACAGATGTATTAAGTCCACTGATTAATTTATTCTGAACATAAATATCAAGAACAAAGTAATGATTCAATTAAAGTTTAATGAGCTTTTACAAGAGAAAAATAAAATATTATGAGCAAATATTTACTGAATGACTGTAACAAAACATTATGATCACACACTGAAAAGGAAAAGTGACAACTTAAGTAAGATAAAGTCAATCTAAAAATTAATACAGAGAGCCCACCATATATATTATATAATATATTATGTATGTCATAGAAT